CAGTGGTTGAGCATCAACCTATGAACCAGGAGATCACGGTTCAATTCCTGGTCAGGGCACATGCCTGGGTTGCAGGCTCAATCCCCAGTAGGGGATGTGTAGGAGGCAGCTGATCAGTGATTCTCTCTCATCATTGATGCTTCTATCTCTCTCTCCTTCTCCTTCTCTGAAATCAATTAAAAATACATATAAAAAAAAAACAACTGTTGCACTGGCCAGTTTGGCTCAATGGATAGAAGGGTCTGTGGACTGAAGGGTCCCAGGTTTGATTCCGGTCAAGGGCTTGATCCCAGTAGGGGGTATGCAGGAGGCAGCTAATTAATGATTCTCATTGATGTTTCTATCTCTCTTTCCCTCTCCCTTGCTTTTATTGATTTTAAATCAATAAAAATATTTTTTAAAAATACTGTTCATAAAGTAGGGGCATTACATGAGAGATCACTGGTGTATGAAAGGATGAGGAAGTGTGTGGGACTAGGACAGTGTACCCAGCTATGGACAGAGATCTCGGAGACATGCCCCCCAGGCAGGTTCTGACCCTTGATGACCTCATGAGCCGTGAAATCTCCAGGACTCTCCTGCAGCTGTACCCACTGGCCAGCCATACCTACTGGCCAACTGCATGCTCTCTCTGGCCTCTGTCACCAAGAACACAACCCAGGTGTTGTCACTTCCACATCACCTTTCAGGGGAGCCCAGTATCCCTCAGCCAGTTGTCAGGACCAAGTCAGGGGAACCCCTCCTTGTGCTTCCAGGGACTTGAATGGGTCTCAATGCTGGACTTACAGGTAAGGGTCAGGGAAGAGGGCCAAGTCACCCCGAAATCTCAGAGCAAAAGGCCTCAGGGTGACTGGCCCAAAATCAAGTGTGGGTTTGCAGGTCCAGGTGGCTGTGCTGCGAGAGCTCCTGTGAGAGGCTCTCCCTGCGAGACACTGCCACCTACAGTGCCCTCGAGGGCCTCTGCACCTCTGAGCTGGTGGGAGGTGCTCACCACACCAAAAAGCATGCCGGCATGGACACTGGTCACTCCCAGAGCCAGACCACAGCCTCCTTGCCTCTGCTCTGGAAAACATTCCAAAACAGGCAGGATGTGCAATGCGGAGAGGCAAGCACCATCCAACCCTATTGCAGAACACCTTCAATTTCTCAGGATTCTCTCCCAGAGGAAAGAAAAACCTCAAAACAAACCTTAGTCCCACAGCTCAGCTGGGGACCACCGCCCCTCTCAGCCATGTCCAAGGTCTCTGGGCAGGGGGGTAATGGGGTCAAGGAATATGCAGGAGAGCTCCAATCCTCTAAGCAAGCAGCACACACATGGCCCAGCTCAAGACTTTACTCGTGCTGACCCCGAAATGTGGTGAACCTTCCTCAACTGGGTCCCCACTGCAGGCGGAAAAGAGACCTCAGAGGCAGCGAGAAGGCCCCAGGCTGCTGGGGATCCTGGGACCAGAGGTCCATTAGGGCCTCCACAAAGTCCACCCCACCCAGAAGCTTCACAGCCAGCACACACAAGAACGGTTCAGCCACTGCCCACAAGTGGCTCTTCCACCGCCCCAGACCATGTCTATGGTGCCAAAAGGTGGAGAGGTGGGCTGGCCGGTGGACAAGGGACACTGAGCCTGGCTATCAGGCGTGCGTCAGTCACTATGTGGTCACTTCCCGCTGGCTCTCTTCTGCATCACCGCCGGCTCAGACAGTGCCTGTTGCTGAAGCCGCTCAATTAGCTCTTCCACGTAGACCTTGAACAGAGGGACGGGATCCTACAGGGGCAAGATGGGGTCACAGTGAGGCACTTTTGGGAGGACAGAAATCCAGCTGCCTTTGGCCAAACACCAAGAGGAACTAGGAATGAGAGAACTGGGCCTCTCAGGCTTGGCCACAGGGTCAAGTGAGGCCCCTCAGCTTGTCACCCCTTAGCCCCCAGTCCAGAGGATAGTGTCCTGTCCATGAGACAGAGATAGCCTTCCCTTGGGGATGCAGGAATCAGGCTCCTGCCTCTGGTTTCCCTGCCTTGGGGCTTAATGGAAACAGCTAAAACTAAACAGAGGGAACACAGGCAGACAGCTGCTTTGTCACGGGTGGGAGCTCTCTGTCCCGGCGGCTACCACAGGCTCCACGCCCTCCTGAGGGACAGACACAAAGGTCTCAACTGGGAAGACCCTGAGGGATGCTAAGTGGCTAAGTAAACCAACGGTGCAAGATTCCAGCTCTTATCACCGAGAGACTTTCTGTCCCTGAACCTATGAAGTGGGCCAGAGGGAGCAGGAGAGGGTCAGAACCATGAGGGGAGGGAATGTGCCATGTGGAATCCACAGGACTGTGGCTCCGGCTGGGGAGCTGGGCAGAAGCAGCTCTTTCCCAAGCCCACATGGTGTGGGCAGCCCCTCATTCAAGGCAGTACACTTCCTCCCTCCCCAACTGTCTGCTTGGCCGCTGTGCCACCCAAGAGGGTAGAGCCACTGGCACTCACACACGCTCACCTTCTCCTCCAGAAGCCTCTGCTTCTCCACAGCTTCATCCAGTGTCAGGCCGACCCACTCAGCCTCCTCCTCTGGGATGACAAACTCCTGGCAGGCAGACAAGGAGTATGTGGTGAGGCCAGGTGGTCAGTCACTGGGGCCCATGAGGAGCAGAAGTCCAGGCCCAAACCCTCACCTTATACTTGTCATAGATGGCTGCCCTCCTCTCAGGGTCGTCTGGGTGCAGCTGGGGGTCCCGTCGGGCAAGCCGCAACAACATCCCTCGCTTCAGGTCCATCCCAAACTTGGAGCACAGGTCCTCCTTCGGGGTCTGGCAGGAAGCTATGAATGGGGCCAGGTGCTGCTGGCAGGGTCCCACCCACCAGGATACTCCCTAGCAGCTGGCAGTCCCCAGGCCAGAACAGAGGAAGGAAGAGCCAAGAACAGGAAAAGAGGAGGCTCTGTCCACTTGGGCCCTGGAGAGCAACAGAGCTGCCCACAGCAACAAACTTTCCTGTGGGCAGAAAGCCCCCACGGGGGCTGCCCCAAAAGGGGCATGGTCCCATTCACATCTCATCGGTGACCCTCCACTCCAGAGACCAGCGTGCCCCAGTGGGTGCTGTGACCTAGCCTCCCCTCTCTGACTGATCATAGACCCCTCTTGCCTTCAGGATGTAGAAGTCAAACCCATAGGCCTCATCGATGAGGTCCAGGGTCCGCATAGTCACAGTCACGGAGAACTTCTTGTCCAGGATCTCACTGTAGAGCTCGCGCTCAAACAGCTGTGGCTTCCACACCTTCTTTACCCTCTTCGAGAGCTGAGAAAGCAAGAGTCTTCATGAGTAGGGCTGCTCCTCCCAACAAAGCATAGAGACTCAGAACACAGACCTGGTTGCCCATTCGGAAGTCAGCTTCTACCCAGCCAATGTGGCACCCCAGACTTTTGCCAAGGTTGCTGGTGTGTGTTCCAGACACACCACACACACAATCATAACTCCATGTCTCACGAGTTATCACATTCCACACCAGGGACCAAGAAGGCAAAGGGAAGCCGCCAGCCTCACCAGCCTGGGAGGCCTCCCCAAGAGGGCTCAGCAGTCCCTCCAGGTTTACCACCAGAGGCAGCAGGTGTTGGCCACAAACTTGGGAGACGTGCCCTCAGGTGAGTGTCTCCGTCGAAGAGGAGGTGGTTGTGTCAGGAGAAGTGTCACAGACAAACTATGGTGATTCAAGCTGACAGGTGACTGCAGACCCCCCTCACCCCTCACCACACAGGCCTCCCCATCCTTACACTTGAGCTGTGCCACAACCGCAGGGCCTCTGCACTTGCTGTTCCCGATCATGGATCGCCCTGTCTCAGGATATCCAGTTGGTTTTACAAAGAGCTGTGTTCCCTGGGACTGTGCCTTTTCTCTCTGGCGTGCTCCTTTGAGGGAGCTGTCTCACCAGACCGTAAGGCCTCCTGGGACTGGCCGGTCTCCCTTTGGCTCCCCAGATCCCTCGGAGCCCAGCACGGTGTCCAGAGCAGCAAAACCCCGGGGAAGCCCCGCCCCCTGAAGCTTGCCCTGCTCACCCACCTTGTGGTTGTTGACATATCTGTGGCCCAGAATCCAGCCCTCGCCGCCCCAGAGCCCCCGCTGGGACTCGCGGGGGTAGTGAATGGGAATGGGCACATCCTCCACGCGCTCCCGCTGCCCATTTTTGGGGTTAATCTTGAACTTGGCCCCGTGTGGCCTGTAGTGCACGGGAGTAGGCGTCCGCGTCTCCTCCAGTGAGCGAAGGTAGTGCTGGGGCAGGCGGGCGTAGATGCCCTCCCGCAGCTGTAACCGCTTCCATAGAAAGACCGGGAACTTGTGCAAGGGCATCGCGGCCAGCCTGGCGGGAGGCAGAAGACCGCCATCACGACGCAGCCCGGCTAAACTTCACCCGGACTCCAGCGCAGCCCCTACCCCAACCCCGGCTTCAGATCCCCGCGCTAACCCGGCTCCCGACCTCCACTCTCAGCGACAACCCACCAGAACCCAAGTACCTCTCCGAGCTCCGCGCCCCGCCGGAACCGGAAGTTGTGCTGCGGCAACGTGCTCTCCACCCGCCTCTGGCTGGCCGCAAAGCCCGTCACTCTATCGCTATCCCGCCCACTTTTCCGCCGTCAAGGGACCGTGGAAAAACGCCCCGCGAAGCCTGAGGCCGCGCTAGGCACCGTCAAGAAAGGCCGGTTTTTGGCGAGCAGCAGCCTGGGGGACAAGCCTTGTCATCCCCGGGCTTACCAGCTTCCTCCCAGGAGCGCAAAAAAAAAAAAAAAAAAAAAAAAAAAAAACACTCTTGCCTTGAAATATAACCGTAGCCCCGGCGGGGTGGCTCAGTTGGTTGGAGCGCCATTTCATACACCAAAGGGTTGCGGGTTCGATCCTCAGTCAGGGCCCATAGGAGAGGCAACGGATCTCGTTGCTCTCTCCCCCTTCCTCTCTAAACATATCCTTGCGTGAGGATTTTAAAAGTATATATAACTGTAGAGTATTAAATTAACCAATCACAGTGAAATCAGAGCTACATAAAAATATATTAGTCTTAAATATTTTTACCCCAAAGAACACCATATATAAATGTTTCCCCTTTATAAGCCTAGCGAATGCTATGTTGGCCATATGCAGAGTGACTGGAAGTGGGGGAGGCCTCTAGTGAGGCCACACCCTGGACAGGACCCCGAAGGGAGCCCCAAGGGCGCTGAGCCTGGCCTCAGTGAGCGAGGCTTGGCATTGGCCCTGTTCCACATCCCTCATACAGCAGCCCACTGTGCTCTTGCCTTGGGAAGGGGCAGGGCACGGCTCCTTGGGGCAGTCATCGTCCCTTACCATGCTTCCCCCACAGAAGAGGTAGAAAGGCTGGGCCAGGTCTCTCTAGCAGCCCCCTAACCAAACACGTGCTTGGGCCAGTGTAGGGGGGGCAGCCATCACCTCCACTCCTGACAGCAAATCAAGAGGATGCTCCCCAGGGGAAGAGTGGGGACACAGTTGGAGCAGAGTATACCCTACATTGCTGGCACCCACAGAGCAGCTCGGCAGCCCCCTTCCCGGGGAGCTCTTCTCAGGGGCTTGCAGCTTCAAAGCTGAGAACCAAAGGGAGGGAAAGGAGAGGGCACTATAGCCAGAAGCCAGCCTCTCCTGTGCCACCACTCATGGCAGCTGAACCCTATGTCCCCCAGTGCCAATCAGCTCTCTGGTGGCCATGGTCACCCCTCCCCAGGGCAACTGCATCAGCAGGGGGCATCCCCATACCCAAGATAAACTGGCATTCAGGGGCATAGCTCCAAGCCTCAGTGTGTTGGGGGCCGGTGGGAGGTGGGCTCAAGTCTCCTCTGCCTCCCTGGGTCTCACATCACAGCCTCACAAAACAGGGTGATAAGAGAATCTTTCTCCACATCTCCAATTGTCGCCTGGCCGGCAGAACACAGAGCCTGCCTCCAAACGGCACCTGTGGTCTCCAGGCAGCCAGGCCCTGGCCCCAGGGGCCACTGCAGATACCAGCTGGGCCTGCAGAGGATGGGGTCAGCTGGCAGCCAGGAAGGACTAGGGAATTGGGGGGTGTGGTCCTTTCCTCGGCAGGAGGAAGCAAATGGGTGAGCAGGGCCATTTTATTCAGTTGGCAATCTATCCGGACAAGGTCCCTCTCCCGTGGTCCTGCCCCTGGCTGAAGAGGTTGTCATCAAAGCTGTGCATGTCCCTGAGTTGGCTGCATCATGTCACCGTGTACAGCTCCTCCTGGTGGTTCTTACAGATCTGATAGTGGCAGGTGAGCTTCTGTGAGCAGGCCCAGGGCTCAGTGTGCTTGTCACGTGGTGGCAGCAGGAACGCCGTGCTCCCTGCCAGCAGCATGTGCCAGATGCTGTGGGTATAGTAATAGTTGCCACTGGTCATCATGGAGGCATAGATGGAAATGGCCACAGTGGCCATGGAGATGCCAGGCAGGAGAAAGAAGACCCAGCGCTGCCAGGAGGTAGGGTAGCAGTGGCGTCGGTGCCCACAGCGGTACACCTGGAGAGAACCATCACAAGAGCATTGGCACAGGGGCTGCAGCTGTACCTCCCAGGGGCCCACCCACGTCTGCGTAGCAGGACCAGGGATGTGCAATACTCGGAAGGGGCTCAAGGGCACAGAGACCTGATGGGTCCTCAGGCCTGGGCCTCAGCATGAAGCCACACAGGCCTTGAGTACCAGTGCCCAGGCCTCAGCGAACATGGAGGACTTGCCCTAGCCGGCATGGCTCAGTAGATAGAGCGTTGGCCTGCAGACTGAAGGTTCCTGGGTTTGATTCTGGTCAAGGGTACGGGCTCAGTTGCAGGCTCGATCCCTGGCCCTGGTCAGGGCACATGGGGGAGGCAACCAATTGATGTCTCTCTCACATTGGTGTTTCTTTCTCTCTGTCTCTCTCTCTCCCTTCCGCTCTCTCAGTAAAAAATAAATGGAAAAATATCCTCAGGTGAGGATTAACCAAAAAAATATATATATGGAGGATTCAGATTCAGGACCAGGAACATGGCCAGAATCAGTGGCCAGGCTCTCTTCTCCCAGAGCGGGGGGGTCTGTGGGGGCGACAACATTCTCTTATTCCAGTTAACAGGAGATGGAGTCTGGGCAAGAGCTCCTTACCCACATGGTGACCATGACCACGAAGGCAAAGAGACAAGGCCCCATCATGTTCCAGGCGCCCCTGCGGTCCAGCTGTAAGGACATGGCGAACACCAGCGTGCCCAGGAGAAGCAGAACCTGAGCAAGGCACATAGACAATCACAGGGTCACAGAAACCCGAGGCCAACACTGTCCATGATGGCACAAGGTCCAGCAGGAGCACGTGGCCTGGGCATGCTGGTCATCCTGTTATTGGCCCACTGCCCCCCAACACCTCTGCCCGCACCCTTGGAGCTGCTGGCACACTGTTCTGCTCCACTGTCAGGGAGGGAGGCACCTCTCCTCTAGATACTGATTCATCCTGAGGCACAACTTAGCCAGGCAGGCACCGGGTCACATGTCTCCATCAGCCACGCCCGGCTGTGGCAGAAAAAACTCCAAAGTGTTCTCAGCACCAGAGACCCCAGGAGCACATCCGGGGCTTCTCAGGGAGGTCTGGCCTGGGTTGGGGCTCTAGGCATCCCTTTAAATAGAGCTTGAGAGAGAAACAGGCTAGGAAGGTCCTTGCCTAACCCTATCTTCCACCTTCTTTTCCTGGAATCCTCCAAGCAGCCAGCACTGTCCCTTCCAGCTGCCAGAGGCTTCTTCCAGAGGGAGACTGGTCATTACGAAAGATGGGAGGTTTCTAATGGCAGCAGCCGAATCCTCTTTCTGATCTCTTCCTCAGCAGGCAGGGGCCTCTGCTCCCTCAGAACCCAGACCCGGGTGTCAGGAGGTCACTCACATATTTCAGGGCTGCCTTCAGCCGTGCCATGCAGAGGATGGTGACCCAGATGGACACTCCAGAGCCCAGGAAGTCGCAGTACTGCAGGGTGTCATAGTTGAGGATGCACAGCACTGCCTCCCCCGGCTGGTCGCAGGCGTGATAGAACTGCAGGGCAGGGCGGTGAGCGGAGGCCCAGACCTCCCCACCATCCCCAAGGGAGCAGGCAAGCCTACCGTGGAGAAAAACATGGTGTAGGCGTAGACGGAGGCTTCCACCAGGAGGCAGCGGTACACAGAGAGGGTGATGGGAGCCAGGAACATGAGGTTGCTGAGGGTGAGTAGGAGCGCGGCCATCCTCTGCTGGGCTACAGTCTGGGCTGTGCTGTTGTCCGTGCAGCTCCACCCACGCCAGCCTGTGGGCAGGGCAATGCTGAGTGGGCTGAGGTTGGGCAACTGAGGCCAGGCTAATGGGGGAGGCACTTCTGAACCTCAGAGCCCACCCTCACCCACGGCCCTGCAGAGAAGTCCCTTCTCACCTAGGAGCAGGCTAGGACAGGTGTAGGTAGTGGGGCACGTGTGGGTAAGTATAGACTAGTGTGGGCAGGGGCTGACAGCTATGAGGCAGGCATGGGCAGGTGTAAAGAGGTGTGAGACAGGTATAGGAACGTGTGGGGCAGGTGTGGGGCAGGTGTGGGACACGTGTGGGCAGGTGTGGGGCAGATGTAGGCAGGTGTGGGGCAGGTGTGGGACACGTGTGGGCAGGTGTGGGGCAGATGTAGGCAGGTGTGGGGCAGGTATGGGACATGTCTGTGGGCAGGTGTGGGGCAGGTGTGGGGCAGGTATGGGACATGTCTGTGGGCAGGTATGGGCAGAGGAGGCCAAGGTCAGAGGCAGTGCCATCTCTGGGGGTGCCTTTCTGTGCTTGCATGGGGGAGGTATGTGGCAGGAGTGGGGAGAAGGCATTTGCTCTTGTTCTGTGAGGGTGCTCTCCAGCCTTGGCAGAGGGGGATGGGCTCCTAGAGGAAGGCACAGGGCTGAGAAGTCAACAACAGTATTGTCTGGAGGCATCCAGGCCTGGCCCTCACCTGCCTTGCAGCTACACCCCGCATACAGGTAGCCATGTCTGCGTAGCAGGAGGCACTGGCCGTAAGGTCCACAGTCATTCAAGCAGGGCACCAAAGACAAGGTAGTCTCCACGAGGACCGAGGACTTCTCACACTCCCTGCGAGGAAGGGGCCATAGGAGAGCTGGCTGCCGAGGTCTGCTGGCCAGTCTCTGCCAGGGCTCCAGTCAAGCTTTTGGACACATGAGCCCAGAATTGAGACCCCAGGCCCTGAGCCCTGGAAGACAGCAGCTGTGAGATCCACAGAAGCCAAGATGCCCCTTCCCCTTCGCACCACACTGCATCCCAGTCTGTCTAGGGCTGTGCTGAGCCAGTCCCCTCAGGACAGCCTGGTTCAGGACAGCCCTAGACAGACTGGGATGCTGACTCCCAGGGCTGCCCGAGGAGGGTGGCCATGTGGAGAAGGGGAGAACTTCGTAACTCCCGGAAGGCAGCTTATCCTGTGCGGCTTATAGGAAGCTGGATCACTTTCAGACTCAGATGCAGGCAGCCCGATCATGGTCCTGAATGCAATGACTCCCCCACCTGGCAGCTCTGGGTGGCCCCCACCCTCGCCCCCCAGTTTACTTACTCAGGACTCTGAAGGCACACGAGCTGCAGGGAGAGGTACCAGCTGTCCGTCTCTGGGTAGGGAATGATAAGGTTGGCCTTGCGCGACACGGTGCTCAAAGACAGGGGATACCCCTGGAAGAAGGCTGCAGGAGGAGCAGGAAGGCCTGGTAAGAGGTGGCTGGAGAGGCTGGCGGTCACTTAGCCAGATGCTCCTGCCAGTACCTGTGGTGCAGTTGAGCGACGTGTTGAAGCTGAGGAAGGGCGAGGCAGCGTTCACGCAGACCTTCACCAAGGTGTTGTTGGAGATCACACTCTGAAAGGGGTGGCCGTGCGGCGTCAATCCTAAGTCTGATGCTGGGCGCTCTTTGTGGCTCCCACGGCCCAAGGCCCACCCAGGACCCTCCCCTGCAGGCCAGGCAACACCCAGCCTCTGATTCCACCCATTTCTAGAGGCACAGCCCTCAAACTTCTGACAGGGACCTATGAAACAGGCCTCTCAGCCCTGGCCGGTGTGGCTCGGCTGGTTAGAGCTTTGTCCTGTGTACCGAAGAGTTGCAGGTTCAATTTCCGACCACGGCGTGTACTGGAGGCAACCAATCGATGTTTCTCTCTCACCTCTATGTTTCTTTCTTTTTTTTAAAATATATTTTACTGATTTTTTACAGAGAGGAAGGGAGAGGGATAGAGAGTTAGAAACATCGATCAGCTGCCTCCTGCATACCCCCCACTGGGGATGTGCCCGCAACCAAGGTACATGCCCTTGACTGGAATCGAACCTGGGACCCTTGAGTCCGCAGGCCGACGCTCTATCCACTGAGCCAAACCGGTCAGGGCTCACCTCTATGTTTCTCTCTCTCTCCCTCTCCTTTCCTTTCTCTCTCAAATCAGTGAAAAACACAACCTCAGATGAGGGTTTAAAAAGCAAACAGACAAGCTTCCCTCTCTGCAAGTGGTGCTCCTATTCTGGTCTAATGCCTATTGGGGTCATTCTGTTACCTGAAAGGCCACCCCAACCCAGTGTCCATGATAACGTCAGTGCAGGAAGGCTGAGCAGCATCATCCAGCCTGGGAGCATCTGAGCCCTGAGCTGAGCTGGGCCCGGAGGTGCTCACCTTGTTGGCCCACAGGGAGATGGTGAGGGAGCCCCCACTGTCCATGCCTGTGTTAAGGTGCAGCCGCATCACCGAAGGCACGTCCGACCGCACCAGCACTGAGACCCTGTCTAGGGGCCTGAAGTGGACGGACACCACGTCCATGTCTTCCCGCATGACCTGGTAGCTCAGATGGCAGAAGGGGCCACCACCCACAGCGCTGCTCCTGCCAAGGTCCTGGTAGCCAGGGCTCGGGGGCAGCAGACCATTGGAAGTGTTGCGGCTCTGGTTTGGACTGTTCTGCAGGAGATGTTGGAAGTTGATGGTCCAAGGCCTGCAGGCTGTCAGGAGGACAAGGCGCTCAGCTGGAAAAAGGGCTGGGGATCGAAGGCAGAACCACCCCCAGCCTGCCTCCCCATGCAGCCCACCTGTGAGAGAAGCTACAGTGCTGAAAGCCACCAACACATGAGGCCCTGCCAGGCTCTTGGCTGTCACTTGCAACCACCGGTCCCAGGGTGGCGAGGGCAACAGCAGGCGGCAGGTTTGGGTGGGGCCAGTGCAGGTGAGCACCTTCTGAAAGTTGCTGGGCAGAGTAGCTGAGCCCACAGTGAGGTGCACAGGGCAGCCTAGGCTCCTGTTGGACACACAGCCTTGCAGCTCCAGCAGCAGCTCCTGGGTGTACTCGGGGACGAAGATTCTGCAGCCAAGGGGGACGGCCTCACTCAGGCTTTGTGACTTCCAATGACCTCCCCGCATTGGTCACACTCAGGGTGGTTGCTCCACTTCCCAGTACCACCCCAAGACCCAGAACCCAACCTTTCTCACCCACAGTGAGGAAGTGGTAACACCCGCTCCATCAAACCCGGAGGCTGGGCCTCCCCCAAGACCCTCACTTACTTGAGGTAGCTGGGCTGGGAGAGGAGGGTTTGTGGCAAGGGTGTGTTGGGCTCCAGGATGGAGACCTCGACTACCCGCACGACCAGCATGTCAGGCTGGAAGATGTAGGCACAGGTGGGAATAAAGCCCTAGGGAGAGAAGGAGAGGTGGGGGAGGGAATTTCGTAGGCATGGGATGGGGCAGGAGCAGAGAGCCCAGACCGGGTTAGGGCGGGGAAGGGCAGGACCAGAGAACCTAGCTGGGGGTGGCTGGTGGGGAGGCAGGGCTGCAGCAGAACCTTGACAAGGTCTGCCCCAAGGAGGTACATAACAGGGACCAGCCATTCCTGCACGCATGTGTCCTGCCCCTCTATCTCTGGACAGCAGACCCCTCACCTTCACCTCAATCTTCTGGGATGAGGGGGGCAGGTGGGCAGCCACAAACCAGTCCCCAGGTGCTGGGTGGGAGATGTTGATGGAAGCATTGCTCTGCAGCATCTTGATGAGGAAGGAGGGCTGCATGGAGGTGTTGGCAGGGAAGCTGGTACCCAGTGGGTTGATGACAGGAGGGGCACCATATCGGAAGTACCTGGAGGTGGGGATAGCAGGGCAGGCATCAGATGTCGGCCCTGGGCCAGGCGCGGGCAGGCGGGCAGGCAGGCACCTACACGGTGATTTCCACCTTCGCACACGTGGGGTCACCACCCTGGGACACCTGCAGCAGCCAGCGCAGCAGCACGGTATCCGGGGGCACTCGGAAGTGGAAGAGTCTGGCGCTGCCATACCAGCTGTAGAAAGACAGCCTCTGCGGGGACTGCGAGAACTGCTCAGACACCAGCCTGATGTCTGCGGGGAGAAAGCACTGTCAGCCAGACCAGGGTGCCCCAAGATGCCCCCACCTCCATGTGGGGGGCAAACAGAGAATTCAGAGGCCCTTCTCCCCCGGCATGGCCCCAGAGAGAAAGGATGAGGGAAGCCATGGTGGGCTGGTCTAGAGCCCTTGGCATGCCTGGCTCTCCAACTTTCACCTTGGAAAAGGTTACTGTCCCTCCCCCTCCAGCCCCTGGAAGTTGCCTCTGGGAACTGATCCCACTTGACAAGTGAGGGAGTTCAGGCCCGTGATGATCTGGGACACAGCTGGACTGAAGCCTGAGTCCCCTCACCCAGAGAGGTGGCAAGCAGACACCCTGGGGTGGAGGGGACCCCAGGCTGGAAGCCTAGCCAGCCGTGGGACCAGAGGACAGCTGGCCCCCATTCTGCCCAGGGCTTTACCTGGGGCTCCCCACACCCCAATCCCTACAGTGACTCTCAGTCCCCCACCTCTGTGGCCTCAGCCCCCTGCTCCCCTCCCTGACACACTCCAAAAATTTGCCCTCACTGCTCACTTCCTGTCATACCAACATTTCCTGGAGCAGCTCTGAGGAGCTTCTGAGACTCAGCTCAAAGGCCTAAGCCCCATCTAGGTTAGGCCTCTCCTGGAGTGTCCACTGACTAGGGCACAACCTCCATGACAGCATATATCTGGGTCCTACAGTGTAATCACCTGCCCCATGAGTGAGTGAGGGTGCCCACCCAGGCCCCTCCCTATTGGGACTCCCACAGAACAGGCATGCTCTGCACTCCCATAGGTGGATTACCAGGCCTGGCATCCGGCCATCTCCCTAAGATGGATGGTAGGGATCCTGAACCCAGTACCAGCTTAGGCTTTGTGCCCCCTGTGACCTTGGGTATCCAACCCTTTCTCTGCGTCCCAGTTTCCTCATGATTTGGTCCAGGTGAATAGCACCTCCCCTTGGGTGTCCCTCCCTCCAAGGTTAAGGGATGCTAAAGTGCTTCTGAAAGAAATACCCTGTGGACACAGCAGAGGGCAGCCTCACTCTCCTTCAAGCTGGGGGCACCTCCCTCTACCCTGCTAGGAGTTGCTGGCTCACACAACCCCAGCAGCAGGCTCTGGGCCCCTTCAGTGTGAGTCAGGTGAGCAGGTGAGGGAGCCAGTTGAGCAGCTGGCTCTCCTGCCAGCCTCCTGACCTTCCAATGGAGGAACCTTGAGAAAATATAACAACCTACTTTCAAAGACAGTCTGAACTCCAGAGGAGCCCAACATGGGGGGCTAGGCAGAGGTGGGCTCCATGTAGGACACACTCCAGGCTTTCTGGGTGTCTGCTGGCCACCACGTTCCACTCACCGGGCCATGGCCTGAGGAGGCTAGGAGCCACTGAACTAGCACAAACTTTTCTCCTAAAGCTCCTGCAGCCCCTAGGATGATATGACAAGGGCCAAAGGCTGGGAGGTGAAACAGGATAGCTCCCCACCCCCACCTCAGGACCATGGGGCTACAGTCAGCCAGTGGGGCTAGCCTCTGGATGGGGCCCCAAAGGGGAGGTCACACTGCACTGTGCAGCCCTCGGACTTGAGAGAGGCAAGTCCTTCTGGCCCTGCCAGCCCTGGAGTGCCAGCTTGAGGACACCTGGAACCCAGCTGGTAGCTGTGAAGTTTCAGCAGATGCACAAGAGATCAGAGATGTGCTCAAGGTCACCTTTAGATGCAGTGGTCCCCACTCCCAGGGCTACAGAGCCCCTTCAGGACACCCCTTATCTCTGCAGCCCCATCTCCCTGCCCAAGATGCTCACACTGTTATCTTGGTAAACATACCAAGCCATTAACACATCAGTCTGAGCCTAATGTGGAAGTCACATCTCTGATAACAGGGAATAAGTGCTGTATGTACCCCTGCCCTGCCCCATAGCCCTCTCCAAGGACACAGGGTTGTGGGGAGAACAAAGAACGTTCCTGAGCCTGACCTGGGAACTTGAGTGAGGGCACCCTCCAAACCAGGACCCCTGCACACCCATAGTTCCCAGAAGCGAGGGCTACATTGCTGTCTGCCCCTCGAGCTGGCCAGGGAGGTGAGGGGTTGCCCCAGGTTTCCATCTCCATAAACTGTCCACCAGTGACCCCTCACCCACTCCACCCCTCCTCCAGGATGGAGAAAATGAGGGTGGCAGTATCTAATGGAGCAATTTAATCAGGAGTCATCTCGGAGAAACCGCCTTCCATTTCAAGCTCAGAAACCAAAGGCACAGTCTTCAAAGAAATAGGAGCTTGGAGGAGCAAGATTTCAGAAAAGGAGGAGGGGCTGGGAGCACAAAAATCAAGGTGAGTTAGTCCCAGGCTGTGCTGGGTATGGCTGCCTAACTGCCCAG